AAGCACCTGAGAGAGAGTGGGCACCTCCCAGAACATTGTTTTGTGCCTCTCCCAACAGAAATATTCCAGGTGGACACCTTCAGCAATCAGGAGCTCCTCACTTGCTCATAGAAAATCCCACCTTGGAGTTTACAAAGACTTATGGATAGAAAAGCCACACAAAGTAATTTACTACACTGCAGCCTGTCTTTTGTTTGGCTGGAAACCAGAGGTGTGGGTTCAATTCCAGACCTGAAGGGCGGCTAGGGGCCATAGTCTCAGTGGTTCCACCAGGCTCTATCAGACCAGCAAACCTGGTCCCCCCCCCTTTTTTTTCTCCAAATGATTTTGAGTTTCATTTCACATTGTTCTCCCTCTCAATCAAGGATCTCCTACATAATCCCCTTCCAAGTGGATGACAGTGGTAGCCGGGCACCATCTAGTTCTTCTGGTCTCATAGTTGTATAGGCTACAGATCGGATGGTGTACCAGTTGCTAGGACTAATTGTTTCCATGAATTTTGATTTTCTTCATTCTTCTTTGCTCTGGATGAGGAGAGACCCATCGTTGCATCTAGATGGCAGCTTGCTAGCTTTTAAGATCCCAGTCGCCACTCACCAAAATAGGAGGTGGAACAATGTTTTGTGTAGTATGTTATGCCAATTGAGCTTGATGTCCCCTCTGACTATGGTCCCAAGCCGACAGGTTTAACTACTCGGTCCCTCAGGAAGGAAGGAAGGTTGGGCAGTATGTTTGTTGTGTAGTATGTTTGTTCCTTGTTAGATATGTGTCCTTGTCTGGTTCCTGTTCTTGGTAGCTGGCTATGACCAAGCAGTGTCCACAACCTTGCCTCTTGTCTGCTCTACTATATACCTAGGAATTCTAATCATTCACATAAACTTATAGGACCATTGTTTGCCAACCCTATACATGTTCTTGGATACACTCCCCATTTCATAGACATACCTAATAGTTCAGCCTGTCCACCCATCTATCCATCCATTTACCCATGTTTGCCTTCACTGATGATATAGTACTATAGGTGCAAAAGGTTTCATCCTTGTTGTCTGTACCTCCCATGTACCTCTCTGTGTTTTTCTCTTTCTCAATGCTGCCATATTGGTCACTCACATTTGGTACATTGCCCTTCTCTTCACCCAAATCAATGCTTATCTCTATCTATCCAACAGAGTTCCCTCCCCTCCCCTCCCACTCTTGGTAACCAACAATGAAAATTTCCTTCTATAGATAAACCTTTCCTTAACATTTACAGTAACAGACTAATACAATAATTGTCCTTTTTGTGATTGACTTATTTCACTCAGCATAATGTCCTCCAAGTTCATCCACGTTATGCGGTGTTTTG